AATTATACATATAGTTATAAAATTATAGGAAATTTTTTTGCTTTCATATGTCTGTCTTGAAATTGTTTTTGTTTTGCGAAGAGATTTTTTTTGTAATAGCAGCCACAAATTGGTTTTGCTTGCTTTGATTCCATAATGGTAATTAAGTTTAAATATTAGGAGAAGTTTATCATTACCCAATTTTTTCAAATTTGTGGAAAGATAGCCCCTTCTGTGGTTAAGTACGAGAAAGAATCAGGGAAAAAAACACATTGGAAAGCTCTTTATCAATGATTTAATTTTCCTTTTGGTCATCCTATATTTTATTTTATTTTATTTATTTATTTGTTTGTTTGTTTATTCATTTTGGTACCAGGGATCGAACTCTGGTCCTTGCGCTTGCACAGCAGGCGGCAAAACCACTAAGCTAAATCCCCGGCCCTCATCCTGTATTTTAAAATACCATTTTAAGCCAGGTGTGGTGGCACATGCCTGTAATCCCAGCACTCTGGAGACTGAGGCAGAAGGATCACCATGAGTTTGAGGCCAGCCTGGACTACATAGTGAGACTCTGTCTCAAAAAACAAACAAAAAAACGTCATTTTGGTTAGGTACACTGTTGGGTTATTCTTTGAAGCACCAGTAATCAAAGCTAATTATTCACTTACCATCAGTGTTTTGTAGCAAAAGAAGTACTCATTAGGTTTATATACTCCCAGTGTGTGTATTAGTATCTGGTAAGGAAGTGCACTTAAAAAATTAACCTGAGTGTAAATCTGAGGAATGTGGTAATAATTTGTATTTCCTTTTAAAGAGCTTCTGATGGTTGGTTCCTTGCATAAAAGTGCTCATATTTGGATATGAAATCTCAGTCTAGCCAGACACATTATAAGCCCTCAAATTGTGCACTGGGTGAAAAATAATCTTTTTAGTAGGCAGTATGATCTTGTTGCTGAGCCAGGTTTGAAATCTTGTGCCTTAAGATGACCCATATTGCCTGGTAATTGTCTTTACTCAAATAGTGACTTTGTTTTTCATAGTTGAGAATTGAATCAACTTCAAGCAATTGAAGTCTATGAAAACAGACTTCATTAACAACTTCATTAACCTTTATGGAGTATAGTCATTTTATCACCTCAGAACCAAGCCATAATGAACATTAATTAGGTACCTTGACTCATCACACTCTATGTTGATTAATCTCAATTTTTTTGCAGAAAGTATGTAAAGCTGCCCATTTCCAGGGGTCTGGAACCATACTTTAGCCCTCAAGTGCAGTGTTCCTAAAGGGAGTTAAAATCCTTATTCATGAAGATAGTATTCTGTGGCCTTATCTGTTTTCTGACATCCTTGCATGTACCCATGTTCAAGATGTAGGAAACTTACATTTTATGTGCCATGAAGATTTTTCTGTTTTATTTTAAAACAAATATACCCTAAAATATATCTTTCGAATTATTTATGTGTTACTAGACAACTCCCCTTTTAAGTATTTTCCTAAGGCATTGCTTATATGCAATAGTTGGTAATGGTGCTAATCAAAAATTTTTAATAGCAACCTCGAAAAACAAATGTTCAGTAATATTTATTGGTTAGATACATTTAGATACTATTTACTTCCTGAAGTGTAGGACATAAACAGGAGTATTGGAAAATGCTTCTGCTACAGTAAGCAAAGGCTAGAAAGGATGGATCTCAGTGTGGTAAAAACAAACGGTGGGCAAGAGTTGGAAGATAACGCGGTATGCAGACATTGCTTCCTTCCATCATACAGGGCCAGGCAGACTGAAACTAAATGCCACTTACTGCCTGCGTCCCAGCTCACCGGATAGACTTGTGCTGTTCTGTACCTTGCTAGCTTTCCTGTTCTAACAGTATTTACTCCTGCGACGTAGGCTCATCCCACCTTCTAACGTAGAATCCCCACCCCGGCAACTGGTCCGCGGGTTGCCACCTGTGTTTCTCGTGGTCTCCACTGATGGTACCTGCCCACTCCATCCCTGTGCTCACACTATGTGTGGATCTAGTAGCAATCTGTTTACTAGGAAATGTGACCTCTCCTTAGGTTGTTTTGGGTCTTAGAGGAGAATCACTTGACCTTGACGGTTGCTCAGAGTCAGGTTGATGTGTAGACTCAGTGGAAATACTGCTGTAAGACTGAATAAGAACTTTACATCAGTGCTGGATTGGAAAGCAGCATGAGTGACTCTTCAACCAAATTCAGTGTTAACGAATCCAGGGCTGTTATTTGTTTATGTGTATCTCCTTTGTTCTGTCAGGTCATTTTGTATTAAATGGGATCATCTTTACTGGGAGCTATAAATGAAACAGTGTATTTCTTAATTAGATGTGAAGGTAATATAAGAATGCCACTATAAATGTACTACATTTTAGATTTTTTTCCCATTAATTTATTAGAGTATTGTTGCTTTAAAGCTAGCCACTAAATAAGAAATACTAACATGCCAATTCACCAGTTAAAATGGCTGTTAAAATTTTGGGTTTTTTTCCTCCATTATATCTTCTCGTTTCTAGTTAATACAAATGTGGCATATGGGGTAATTACCCATCACGGAGGGAGGGAGGGCAGGGTAGGTTGATGGTATTGTGCTTATGTGCTCCAAAAAGTTCACAGTAGGGTTGGTGATCTTCCTGATATGTAATTGAGGTGGAAAGGGCTCCAGAAGGTAAGCTCGGTTTTGTGTATAATGTGTTAGAATGAAGGCATTAAGTTGCTCAGCTTTTCTGGTGATCATAAGTAGACTTAGGCAGCGATATTCTCAGTCTAACCTCGAAGTACTCTTCTGAGTAACAACTGCCTCGACCCCACTTGCTGCCCTTCCCATTGTCAGAGCTACAAAGCCGAGCCATATGAAGCAGTGTCTGCAGTTTGCCTTTCTTTCACCTCGCTCAACAATACTGAAAACACCTGTTTCAAGTCCACATTCTTTCTTCTTTGGTCTCATTGGTCCTTTGCAGTCTCCTTTGGTTGTTGTCTTCCTGACTTGGAGCTGTACTCAGATTGCTCTAGAGCTGGGGTCCAGGCTCTGTTCTCCACCTGCTCTGATGTTCGCGTGGCACTAGCATGTATAGGTGTAACCCTGCCTATCGAGTTCAGTTTAGATGTCCGACTATGAACTTGCCATCTTCATTTGGCTGCTTTATACCTTACGCTTATATGTCAGTATTTGCAATAGTATATGTAAAAGATCTCACAAGGTTTAGATGTCTCAAATTACTGAAATGTTTAAGCTGACAGCTCACGAGTCATCTTGAGAGTGCTCCCTTCTCTGGGTCTGCATGTCTCCATCTGCCCTGCCTCACAGTTGGTGCTCTGCCATCTCTTCTGTGATTGCTGACACCTTCCCAAACCACAGTCAGCTTTTAGACAGCATGTCTTTAAGTTACTCCTATACCTGTTCTCCACACTGTAGTCATAGCCGAGAATGTAAATTATATTCCACAGTTTAAAAGTCCTGTAAGAATTTTCAAGGCCTTGTGTGATCGGCCCCTGTTTTCTTGCTGTGAGACACTGAAGCAGGACAACTTGATAGTTATCTACAGTTCTGAAGGCTGAAGTCCACATAGCTTGGTGCTGTCTCTCCCCAGGGCCTCAAGGCAGTTGCAAGGGGGGTGGGGGCGTGGTCTGCAGTCTGTCCTTGGGGCACCCCCACCTGGCCTGAGGACCTCCCACCAGGCTCTGCAGCGTAGCAGCCTGTCCCGTGCTGTGCATCCTGGAACCAGGCTCCCTGCACCGGGCCTGGGAGGACACTGCATCCACACCAGAGCAGCGAATGGCCGTCCACATGCCGTCCACAAGTGAGCACTTGTGTTTATGGTTATAAAGTTTCTTTTAAAATAAAAATGACAGAGTTACCAAAAGTAGGATTTATACCACAAGACCTTTTTGGAAAATAGATTGCACTATCATTAAGAGTTCTAAATGTTGTTATGTTCTTAGCTCTAGTTTTCAGTTACTATTGACAGTTAAGGAAAAAACAGCTTGTGAGAATTTTTATTTCAGTATCACTTAAGGAAATTAAAAATTGAGAACAACGTAAGTGTCTGCTGATAGAAGAATTCTTAAATAATGTCACATTTTTTTATGCTCCAGAGTTAGATACCTTTTCTACTGCATATTTATTTGTATACGATAGTTTTAAAATACAGCTACCTGGGAGAGGAGTTCTAATTAGAATGCTGCAAAAATGGAAATTTTAGTCTTTACTTTTGTTGAAACATCCCCAGGAACTTTAGATTCTATGCCTTTTTTTTTAATAATTTGGTTTTTAGGGATAAAAATAAACCTTTTGGTGGGGGGAGGGCCCCCACCAGGGATCAAACTCGGGACCTTGAGCTTTCGAGGCAGGCAGCAGAACCACTGAGCTGAATTCCCCCGCCCTGAAAAGCTTTTTGAAAGACACCTTTAAAAACCAGTCACTGGGGCCGGGGATTCAGCTCAGTGGTTTTGCTGCCTGCTGCGCAAGTGTAAGGACCTGAGTTTGATTCCCGGTACCAAAAAAAACAACAAAAAACCAATCACTTCAGGTTTTGAATGTTTTTACATTATATTTTGAATGTTTTCACATTATATTTAAGAGCTTACTTGCTTATAATTTACCTTTTCTGGCCTGACTGCTTTCTGGCCTGTCCTCCTAAAATGGTTTCTGAATGAATCAATATTTATATCATTTTAACATGAGATGAAATAATGGTATTGTAAAGAGGTGCTAACACTAATTTATAAGACATGGTATTTCTGATGTTCACATAGCTAACCCTGCCTTTTTCAGAGAATATGTGACTGCTTGATGAGGGCCTGCTTGCCCCAGGAAGCTGGCTGTAAACCAGTAGGGAGAGGAACTCCTTCCAAGGCTGATTTCCAAAGGGTCTGTGTCAAAACCGCCATGGCCTCTTGAGGTTTGGCTGAGAGGCCCGAGTGCCGTTGGCACGCTGCTGGCATTCGTACTCCCTTGTTCTTAGTGAGCCTTACTGTGGAATGCTGTCTCTTTTCAGAGTGCTGCAGACAGGAGCACAGGGAGAAATGATCTGGGTAACATGAAAGTGATGCTGCTGGCCAAGGGACAGCGGCTGGATTCTGAGGGAAGGGCTGCCGCTGGTCCCATCGTTGTCTAGGTGAGCTGCCCTCCGGGTCTTTGACACTTGACAGCCAAGGTTAGGTGTGACTAGACCGCGATTTTAAGTTTCTGTCAAAGAAAATAGATTTGTGGAAAAGGTAAATACTAATGTTTGAATTGATACCTTGGGTACAAGAGTCAAGTCAGTATGGAGTGATTAAGTGAACCCAGGCCAAAGTTTAAGTCTTCTCATTCAGTTGGTAAAAAATATGTGGACAAGACCATAACTGAGTATTGAGACAAGAATGTCATTAAACATTGAAAGAGGTTGTGACGATTTCAGCTAGACCAGTAGTGGCGAACCTGTGGCACATGTGCCAAGCAGGCTCTCCCTACCATTGAAAGCCCTAAGAGGTTGGCTGTCACTGCCCTAGACCATTGATTGCAACCCAATGTATTAGCCAGGAGATGCTGTTCTAAGATTCTGTTCATTCATTATGTCTGGACGAGAACAAAAAAGTATTGTATGTGTGTAGAATATCAGGTAAAGGCACTTTAAACAAGAGTTCTCTATGTCAAAAGAAATAGACCTCTATTATTCAGATAATAGAGGTTAAATGCCTGTAAAAAGTGTTTAGGAAAAATAATTCTTAGATCAAGATGAAAGTTTTTTATGAGTCAGTTGCTAAGCAATTAGGAAGTAAACACCTATGTGAATATATGACAAAACAACCAAAAAGTAGAGAGTTCTGCTGATAAACATCTTCAGACAGATTCACTTTCATTCAGGGTTATAAAAACTTTTCTTTTTTTTTGGTACCGGGAATCAAACTCAGGGCCTCAAGTTTGCTATTTCCCTGCGCCTCATAAAAACTTTTTTTAAAAAGTAAATGCTGTTTGTTTGTTTGTTTTTTTCCTAGAGAAGTCAGGTTTTTGTAGGTTATTACATCAAGTTCTAAATAATGCCTGTAAGTTATAGAACTCAGTGTTTGAACCCGAGTCCTCGCTGCTGTTTCTCGGAAGAACGCGGCGGGCAGGTGGCCACGTGGGCTCTCGGCGGGGCAGGCTCCTGTCGGGAAGTAGGTTCCGATCTCTGACCTGGAGCCTGTTCCCGCACAGACTTGAGCATGAGCACAGAGGAAGAGGACTCTGACACAGTGACAGTCGAGACCGTGAACTCTGTGACGCTGACGCAGGACACCGCCGGGAACCTCATCCTCCACTGCCCGCGGCATGGTAGGAGAGAGAGCGCAGGCTGCTTCCCACCGTGATCCAGGCAGACCGTGCCGCCGAAGGGGAGAGGAGATGATCCCTTTGGGTGGTGCATTGATCTTAATTCATTCATGGTTTTTATTATATTTTTAAAGTACTTTTCAATCTTTAAGTGTACCATAAATTTCAGCCTTTATTAACCTGGTCGCTGTTTTATAAACAGGATCTTTTTGAGTTTCCAGATGCTGATGGACTCTTGTATGCTTCTGTGTACCTTTTGATGGTAGCAGTGCATTTAATATGTTAGAAAAATGTAGAAATACTTCTGCCAGTACTGATAGACCTTTGTTGTTGGAAACTTAAAAATTTTACAAAACTGTCTTAAGGTTTTATATGATCATCTAGGGTGGTTTAAGATTCCAAAGTTTTGAGATTTGTGAGTTTATTACTTTTCTGCCTACTCTTTCCTTATTTATTTTGCTTTTAAGTTCATCTTTACTAATCTAGTTCTTTTGTCTCCTTTCATTGTATATGTGTGTGTACCATTCAGTTTGGGAGAGGTTGGTTGTTGTTTATTCTTGTTTGTTTTTTTGTTTTTTTGTTTTCTTTTGGCAATACTGAAGATTGAGCCCAGGGCCTTCACACAGAGCTACATCCTCAGCACCTTTTTATTTTGAGACAGAGTGCCCCTGAGTTTCCCAGGCTGGGCTTGAGCTTGCAGCTGGGATTACAAGCAAGTGCCACCGTGCTCCTGCGGTGACCTTAAAATTTCCATATTTGAAACAGTTCTTTCACATACTTCCTAAAGCTACCTTGCTTTTTTTTCCCCTTTAAATAAGTGTCCGAAATCATAAATGTAGTTAGGAATAAGTTCTGTCGTCTTCCGCAATTATTTTACCAGGAAGACTTGTTGATGGTATGGTGTTTTAAAATTCATCTTTCCTGTTTTAAGTCCCCTTTCTCAGTTTAGATTGTCTTTTCTTACCTGAGTAGCTCTAATAGCCTTTAAGCTAGTCTCCCACCTCTAATTCATCTTTCAGATTTCTGACAAAAATTGGTTATGGTCCCCAACAGCGTGAGTTTTTTTAAAGTTCCCCTTGTTTTTGGTGCCTCTGTGCATATTGCTCCTACTGCCAGAAGGAGTAATCATTTCTCTGGCTTCCTGTCTCTTCCGATTAAGATACTTCCTTCAGCAAACCTTCTTGTGCCTCCAGTCCAAATTCTTCTGTGCACTCACAGCAGCCTCTTCATTTATCTTCATAGCTCTTTCAGCACTGTTGCGAAATTGTTGGTTCAGTCATCTCCATTGCACTCTAGGTTCCTTGTGACTGGTGTAGCCTTCATTGTTCTAGTCCCAGTATTGCAGTACCTTTTGTGAATAAATCAGCTACCCAACCCTTGTCTGTGTGTGAGAATGGGAGGCAAATTTACAGTGGGCATAGAGAAGGTAATGTCCTGTAAGTCCCTTTGCACACCCAGACTGAATGAGCTCATGTAGAAGAAAATTGTCGCAGTTCTTACTAGTTGGAACTTTTGTTTTTTCTTTATTGGTTTGAAGTTTTGAGAGTTTTGTTTGGTTAATTGCTTTTTCCTTCCATTAGAAGCTGATGAGATAGACTCAGAGGACAGTACTGACCCCCCGCACAAGAGGCTGTGTCTGTCCTCGGAGGATGACCAGAGCATTGATGATTCTACTCCTTGCATATCAGTCGTTGCACTCCCACGTAAGTCACTGTGTGTTAAGAGCCCAGAATTCCCCTTTTGAAATCATATTTTAGCTTGCAAGAGTCTGAGTTGGCATTTCTAGGTAGACTCGGATCCTTTACTTTTCATTTCGTCCAGAAGACCTCTTTCTGACTAATTCTATGTGCCAGGCCGGTGGTGGTGAGCCTGTGGCATGTGCAATGAGCTGTCTGTGCCATCGAAAGCTCTGAAAGGCTCCCTGTCGCAGCCCTAAGTGCTTCTAACTGCCTAATTTTATCCTTCTAAACATTCTCCACCTTTTACAGGCTTCATGAGGAATCTTTTTAGACTTGTTTTTTTTTAGGGGGGTGAATTATAGTCTCTCCTGTATATTTTTTTAAATGTACTGTTTTTAACCATTGTTTTGTTTGGAAAGAGTTAAGATTTTAGCCAAGCAGAGTAGTGCATGCTTGTGATCCCAGCCCTCTGGGAGGCTGAAGTGAGAGGGTTACAAGTTGGAACCCAGTGAAGGCAATTTAGGGAGTTAGTAAAACCCTGTCTGAAAATAAAAATTTTAAGAAAGTGGAACTCTGAAGTAGCTCAATGTATAAAGGGTTTGGGTTCAGTCCCCAGGACCACAAAAAAAGAGAGCTTTTTTTCACACCCCCTCAAAAACCATGTTTACCTTGAATAAAAAGCATGCTGTACAATAGGCACTAGCACTATTATCATTCCTGTTCCTTAGATTAGGGAAGCGAGATGTGGAGAGATAGTGACTTTTTACAGGTCATATCCAGGCATTCTGATTGTAGAGGGTATGCTCCTAACCCAGCGTTACAACTGCCCCTTCCATATAGTATATGGTACACGGACTGGGGATAAATGCCTGATTTGTTTATTCTCACTGAAACTTTACTTTATTTATTTTTTGCATTGGTGGGGATCAAACCCAGTGCTTTGCACATGATAGGCAAACACTCTTTTATCACTAAACTACATCTCCAGACCCCCTCCCCCAATCTTAACATGCTTCTATCCCAGTGGTATTTAGAATAGACTAGATTCTAAGGGAATGAAACATTTCACTGGAATAACACTGGCAAAAGTGTAACATACCAGTTGTGACATTGCTTCACTTCTGATGTGCGTGGCAGAGTGTGGAAGCCTGTTGAAGAGTGGTAGCTCTGCAGAGGCAGGGTGGATGCCGCAGGCCGTGGCTGTGAGTGGACGTGGGACTGCTGCTGGCACTCTCGGTGTAGAGCAAAGCCAGGCTGTGTCTGAGCACTGACTGGACGTAGCCTCCAGCAGGGCACATCTTCATCTAGTGGCAAACAGACGAGTGTGCAGCGTGGAGGGCCACAGTGCGCCATAGCATCCAGTAGTGGACATCCTCATCTGGAGGAAAACAGATGAGTTGAAAAAGTGATAATGTTAATGCTGCTTCCAAGTATGACAGGTGCAAGTATAACACGTTTCTTTTTTGTTTGTCTTTTTTAGCACAACATATTTCTAATTAAATGAACTCTTCCTAATGATTTAGGTGTATTTTTAGTTCTGTCCTAATGTGACTACCATTGTGTTGTGATTTTAAGGACTTGATTGATATAGCTGTGCACATGTTTCTAGACGAATATTTTCCAAAGTAGAATTTTTGAGTGATTATTCTGGCATGAATTATGCCTGGTTAATTCATTTGGTTAAAGAAGAGCGCCTTGTTCACGGTCACACATTCAGACTTTCGTGATATTAAGCAGACTCCTCCACACCCCCGTCATTTACCTGTGATAACGTAGAAATGTTTACACAGGGGCACATGAGCTGTTTGATCACATGGAACACAGTCCAGAGTCTAATACTTAGCAATAAGACTGAATTTTTTAAAAAGTGGGTTCAAGCGATTTACATGTTTAAATAAGTATATTGAAAAAATCAACTTAGGAAAGTTTCTGTATTTAAACAAAAACTACACAAAAGCATGAAGTTTGCTTACCACCCTGTCAGCTGCAGGAATAGGCCTGGGAAGGAGCTCAGTGGCCCCACACCTCCCTGACCTCGAGAGACAGTGGGGCCACACACCTGTGCAAGCACCTGCAAACATTTGGGCAGCCTGTCCCTGAGCTCCGTCCCACAGGCCCCTGCAGTCCCTGTGTGCCCTCCCGACAGTGACAGGTGGACTGTCCTTGTGCCTGCCGGGGCAGCCTGGTTGTTCCCTGGCCTCCGACACTACCCGGCACCCTGCTCCCACTACCAGAATTCCTGGACCTGCTGAGTGGCCCTGCCCCACACACCTACAGGAGGTGACAGACAGGTGGCCATGTCAAGCCACTGGCAGGCTGCCTCAGCTGAGCTACACCCAGAGGAAGCAGTCACTTAAGCCCGGGACCGAGGCTGTGGGGCCACCTGTGGACTCTGCTAGAGAAGCTGCACAGGCTCCACACTGCTGCACCTGCCTGGAACCACACCTGAAGTGGTTCCTAGCCAGCACCCTGGGACACATCTCCAGGAGTGTCTGTAGAATTGGCAGAAGCGACTGATCCTCCAGATTTAAAATATGAACATAGGGACAAGGAAACAGGAAAAAGTAAGGTCACAGGATGCCTCCCAAGGAACGCAAGCACTCTCTAGCACTGACTCCAAAGAGGGAAACTGATATGCCACCTAGAAAAGAAGCCATAATAATACTTTAAAGGACTCTCAGCCAGACAGAATAAGTCAGACAGACAGAAGTAGGAAAATAATTTATGATCTGAATGAGAAATTCAGCAGAGATACAAACGAAAATTAGAAGGAAAGACATACCAGCAGAGATAAGAACAAATTAAAAAGACAATGTAAACGATCAAAAGAGTTGGTTTTTTTGAAAGAAAATTGACAAACTTTTAGGTAGATTAACCAGGGAAAACAGTGAGAAGATTCAGACACATTCAGAGATGAAAAAGATGTTATAACTGATACCGTACCAAAGAAATATAAAAGATCATTAGTGAAAACTATTACTATGAACAATCATACACCAATAAATTGGAAAACCAAGAAAAAATAGATACGTGTGTGGATACATACGTTCTCCAAGATTAACCATGAAGGCACAGAAAATCAGCCCATTAATGAATAACAAGATTAAGGTATCAGTTCATCTATAATAGCTGTAATCAAAAAGACAAACGGCAAATGCTGGCAAGGGTGCGAGAAGGGGAAGCTCCTCCTGTACCCTGTTGATGGGGAGGTAAATTAGTACAGCCACTAAGGAGGCTGGAGGCTCCTCAAGGCGGGGTAGAGCTGCTGTGTGCTCAAACTGAGCCTGTGCTAGACATGCTCCTGAGATACGAGATCAGTGAATTGGGGCCATGCCCGCACTTGGCGTGTGTTGCAGTACCGATCTCAGTGGTCCCCTTTTGGAGTCAGTCTAGTCTGCCAGTGGATGCCTGCACCAAGAAAGTGCGTATGTATATATGTGGGATTTTACTCGGCCGTAGAAAAGAACAAAGCCCTGTCATTTGCAGAATCTTGGATGGAACTGGAGAATGTTGTCTTGGTTGAAGTCAGCCAGGCGCAGAAAGCAGGTGCTGCGTTTCTGCCCGTGTGTGAAGGCTAACGGGGTGGGGTTCGTGGAGGCAGCGGGTGGGATGCTGGCTGCTGGGGGTGGGAAGGGGCAGAGCAGGGAAGTTGAAGAGGCTGAGACGCAGTCTCACGGGTGAGTAACAGGTTCCTAGCGCTTACACATGTGAAGTGGGAGGACAGGAGTTGGAGGAGACAAGCACTGGTTGGGTTTGATGTTGGGTGCATACGCCAGATGGTCACACTGCACCAGGTGAACATGTACAGTTATTACGTGTCCCTGTGGGAGGGGGGTTCTTGAGGGTCTGCATCTGTCAGCATCTGGCACTGAGCAAAGCATTGCTGGACTTCATGGAGGTGAAATGATTGCTGAAGATGTATATTCAGATTTATTTTCAACATGCAGGTCTCTACTACATGCTTCAGAAGATGATCTGTCTCTGGGCCTTAAAAGCCTGTCGCACCCAAACTCACTTCGCATGTTCATTATGTTTCTCACTTAACCACTTCTTTATTGTAGTCATTAGGCATTGCATTTTCTGCACTTTCTTTTCCTGATGTAATTATTGTGTTCATTTAGATGATTCGTGCAGTACCTCAGCCATTCCCTTTGTCCGTTTTTCACTCTCTTTGCCATCCTGCTATTACTGTACGGTACTGGAGCCCTTTTGTGGTTTTTCAGACTGATGCTTTCCAGTGCTGCTTTCTCTCTAGCTCACTTCCTTCCTGTGTAGTACACTCTTAATGCCTACGTTCCTTTCCACAGTGCGGCCCATTGATCTTACCTGTCCTCCTCTCTTGCTCTCCCCAGGACTGTGATTGAACTTGGCCTTTGCACTAAGTTGCTTCCTCAGCCTCCTGCGCTCGTTTTGAGATAGGGTTTCACTAGGTTGCTGAGTTGCCCAGAGTGGGCTCACACTTGGGGTCCTCTTGTCTCGGACCTCTGGAGTGCTGGGGATGACAGGTGTGTGCTACCACGCCCAGCTGGTTTTACCAGTTTTTATTGCTCCTCCTGTACTTGCATCTTTTCCTTCTCCTCGCTCAGTTGCAATTTCATGATTAATCCTTAAAGTCACTGTCTTGCTTTTATTTTTAAATCCTTTTCTCTCCCTTGCCCTGTTCTTTGGGGAAACTATAACCCAGGCTGAATCTGTCTTTACCTGTCCATGTCTGTATGGGTACAGCCATTGTACAGGAATTGTAGAGGAGCAGGACAGGCAGGCTGACCTGGCCGGTCTTATTGTTGACGAGTTAGTTAGCCTGCAGTGAGCTCACCGTGCTGCCCGCAGTCAACCACACTTTTGTAGTGTGTCTTCTCCCACTCTGACGCCGGTCGTCAACACTGTGAAACTTCTCGCACCCACCCCCTCCATGTTTCTCTCTTTCAGCTGACAGCCTTTTGATTTCACTGAGGCAAGTGGAGCGACAAGAAGATGATCTGTGTATGGGTTATGTGTATGCTCATTCCCACCCCTGTCTGCACTTGGGTTCCTGTATCCTAGCCAAGGCCTACCCTTCTGTTTACCAGAGTCCACCTCTTTGCCTGCTGGGGATGTTGTTCAGTAATTCTTTTCTCTACTGAATCGTTAACTTTTCATTCTCTACCTGGTTCCTTCCCATCAGTATACAAACGTGTTTTTCTTTAAAAAGACCCTTAGCCCACTTGCTTCCTGTTTTCTCTCTCTGACTTTAAAGCAGAGGACTTGAAAGAATTGCCTATATTTGCCTCCATTTCTCTTTAAAATATACCCTAGGGAGAAGGATTTACCCCTTCACCCCAACTTCCCAGGTTTCTGGAGATGACCTTGTGTTTAAATCCTGTGATTGATTTTTTTTTTTTGGTGATTTGTTTTTGGTCTTTGTCTTACTTGATCTGTCTGCATCTTTTGGCAGTATTTACCACTTCCTCCTCCCTAAACATTTGTCACCTGGCTTTTAGGGAACATTTCTCTGGTTTTCTTTTTACATTTGTGTCCATTCCACAGTCTGATGCTGGCTTATTCACATTACCCAAACCCCTAAATGTGGGCACCCCAGAACTCAGTTCTTAGACTCCTTCTTTGGTTTTTACTTCCTGGGTGATTTCAATTCATAGTTTAAATATTCTCTTTAGGGATGACACCCAGATTTATTTCAGCCACACTTCTCTTAGAAGTCCATTGTGCTATCTGTTTGTACAGTGGAGCCACCTGCAGAGTTCTCCGAAGTACTGGATGTTTGGTAGATGTCTCAAAGTGTGTGTGTGTGTGTGTGTGTGTGTTGTTTTGTGGTACTGGAGATGGAACTCAGGACTTTTGCACTAATCCACAGCCCTAGTCTTTTATTTTTAAGTTTGAGACAGAGTTGATAAGTTGCCCAGTCCAGCTTAGTCTTACAATTCTCCTGCCTCTGCTTCCCAGAACATTGGGATTACAGGCGTGCACCACCATGCCTACCTAAAGTAATGTGTTTGAAACTGAGTTCCTGAAATTTCCGGAATCCTTATGTTTGTTTATCCTACAGTCTTCCTCACTCGTTAGTGGCAGGTCATTTCTTCAGTTGTTTGGCTAAAAAAATAGTTTAATGTCATCCTTGCCTCTTCAGTTTCTCTCACATGTAGTTTGTCCACAGATGGCACTGGCTCTCCTGCCATCAGAATACTGTAGATCTACATGTGAACTACATAGCCCTACGCCCCAGTCCCGCCCTGACCTCTTACCTGGATGACTGTATTAGCTCAACTGACTTCATGTCCGTGCTTCTGCCCTGACCCATTTTCTCCAGAGCAGCCAGGGTGCTCCTGCTAAGGTGGTCCTCTTCCTTCTCCATGCAGAGCCTCCCAAGGCTTTCCTGTCTGACTGTTAAAGCCAGAGTCTGTGCCTCGGCCTCCCAGACCCACGTGGCCTCTGCTCCTGTGGTTTCTTCAGCAGCGTTGGCCGGATGTGTCACTCACAAGCCCCTCCCTCAGGCACACCTGTCTCAGAATTCGCTGGGCTCCCTGGGACTCACCCCTTAAAGTCCTGGCGTGACTGGCTTTCCTCCTGCTTAGGTCAGGCCTCGGTCATTTCCTAGCCCGGGTCTGCACTTGTAAACACAGCCCCACCCTGACGCTTCTGCTTTGTTTTCTCTCTCCCCTTGCAGTCACTCTCCACCGCAGCAGCCATGGTGTTTTGTTCATCTGCGTCTTCCTGCAGTAGAGTCAAAGCTCCAGGAAACAGTCTTTGTTTATTTTGCTCGCTGTTGTGTCCCAGCTCCCAGAGTGAAACCTAGTATAAATCAAATGCCCAGTATTAAGCAAATGAATATGTACATGTGGGGGTGTATCGACAAAGAGCGTCAATAGATGGCCACCTTTTCTTCCATGGGTGTTTTAAGAGTAATTAAATCCTATTTAATTCTGTTCTACACATGAATTATTCTTTTCTTTAAGTTTCAGAAAATGATCAGAGCTTTGAGGTGACCATGACTGCAACTGCAGAAGTGGCAGATGATGAGATTTCTGAGGGGACTGTGACACAGATCCAGGTATAGTACACCTACTCACCAGCCTCCAGAAGGGGACCTTCATGCACCATTAGGGAATGAAATGATGAGAACGTACCTTGACAGAATAGCAGCCATGAGATGGAGGTGAGACACACCACTGCGTCTGGACTTCCAGTCTCTGCACAGCAATCTCAGGTGTAAACAAAGATGGACTTGTCATACGCATTCCTGTGGAGTGGTCCGTGTCTGTTGGAACCACAGGTTGTGCTTTAACAGCAGCCATAGTAGTACTCTCCCTTTGGTGTTTGTAGGACGAGAAGGTAGCTGGTGATCCAGCCTTACTGTTTCCTTGCCAACTTGTTTAGTTTTCTCGTCTGAGCCCTTGCTGTGTTACTTCCGCCAAAAGTCATCAGTTCTTTGTCCTCTTAGGTAGTCTGAAGCTTAGATCTGTATTACTTACAAGTTTATCTCTGGCTGATTGAGCCTCTCCTTTTTAGTAGCTTATCTTTTCACTCCATCTCATCATGTCATGAAATATTTAGTAAGATATTTTTGAAGTAGGGCTGTTACAGAATTTTTTTTTAAGCATCACAGTGACTATTTAAGAAGTAAAATCGAGCCCAGGGATTTAGCTCAGTGGTGCTGCCACCTGCCCTGCAAGCGCAAGGTTCTGGGTTTGATCCTGGTACCAAAAAAAAAAAAAAGAAGTAAAATCATTTCCAGCTGGTAGGGAGCATATAAGGACTGAGGACATCTCAGATGTGTGCACTGAGAACCTTTATAATAATGAACCTCAGAAGAGTTCCAAAATCAGTTTCAAGAGAACTGAGTCTCACATGTGAGTCACCATAGCTTGTTATAAGCCTGGGTAGTGGCAGTGTTGTCCTGAGTTGTAAGGTTTTGTCTTTGGTTTTACCTGATGCCAAAGAGTAAGTTATGACTTCATGTTAGCTTCTTGGCTTAGCGTTACCATTTTAGTGATAAAGAACTTTGAATAGTGTCTAATGTTTATTTAATAAGATTCATGTTAGGTTGTGTATTGAACATCAGCATAGTTTAAAAAATTCAAAAAAGTCTACTTACTGTGTTTTTGTTGTAAAGTGAGTGAACCCTTTTGACATAATTTAGTAGTTAATGCATTATAACTCATTCCAATCATGAGACTAGCTTGGAAAATAATGAGGAGTTATAAAACGTCTCAGTATATTCTGTGCTTTGTAATTTTAAGAGGTCTTGAGTGGGTTGAATATTTGTTTTTAGATTTCTAAGCCCTGTCATATTATAGACATAAACTCCTGCAATTAACTTTCATGTATTTCGGCAGTAATATATTAAGGCCTAAGTTTAAGATTTATATATAAAATAGTGAAAAGCTGGGCAGAATACTGTCAATGTAGTATCTATACTATGTGTAATAGGTATCTTAAACATACCTAAGTCTCCTTTTCCATCCAATAAACTCATTTGTTATTGACAGTGTTGAATATACTGCCTGTCCGATATCTGAATTACCTGATACCTGTGTACTATGAGATGAGTAGAAATTGTGACTCTTTGTCAGGAAATTGAGGCCAAATATATTAAGTACCCAAAGACAATGGTTAATCAGTTTGATGGGCTTATTCCTAAGGTTCATGGAATGGGCTCTACTGTGTATCTAGAGACACTTTGGAAAATGGTGATTTGATTCTTTTATCCATCCAGTTCATTTAAGGTAGCCTCTAGTAGTTTCTACATTACAATTTAAACTTGTGTATTATATCATGGTCTCCTGATAGTTCTCCAGTTTACCCTTTACAAATGTAACTCCTATGTCACATCTTTAAAACAATTGTCATTGACAGAATTCAGGGAGCCTTAAGACATCATCTAGTCTGTCTCAATTCTTTATAAAAGCTTGAATCTTTAAAAACAAAAGAAAAATATAAAACTATAAAACAAATACAGGCATATAGGAGTATAAAACTTTTTAGACTTGTTCCAGTGATTTCTAGTTGAACTTAAAAACACTTCCATAAATACAGTGTATTATCACCAGATGTAAAAAATATAACAGCAACAGTAGAGAATGTTTCTTCTCCTGTGCGTAAGTTGTTCACTGCCAGCTTAGCCTGTCCCAAGTGAGATGGAGTCCACTTCTCCCGATTAGAATTGCTGTTTCTGCTTGGCCAGCACACAGTCCAGTCTCTCGGGCCTCGCCTCCAGCCAGTAACACAGCCGGGCGCCGCATTCAGGCAGACACTCACGTGATGGAATGGAGTGGGCCTGAAGCTCTTCTCCACCCTGGTCTGCCTGGGTTAGGCTGCATCTGTCACGGTGGCAGCATTGTCAAAGCTGCCTCATTTGAACTACTGCTCTTATTAGACAAGGCCAGCTCTGCTACCAAGAGCAGCTTTGTCCTGCAGAACTTGTTAGACTAGGTATGTCCAGTCGAAAATGCATGCAATCCAGTAACAGTTGTGCAAAAGATGGCTGATGCTGCAGTAGGAATAGTGAGCATGAGTACCAGCGTTGTGTGAGAGGAAGGGAGCGCTAATAAGGCTGCGAAGCAGCTCTAGGAATGGGTTAAAACAAAGCTATCGATAGGAAGGAAGCAGGCAGGGCTTCTGTAATAGCGTCGTACAGCCTGCGAATCCTTTAAACTCAGGGAGAAATCGCAGGTAACTGTATTTAGGTAGCGAACTACCTGTGAGAACATTAACCAGTTGTAATACCCAGCCCTAGTATTCTCATTTCCTATTTGGAACTGATCACAGCTGTATGTATAAGTTCATTTTACAAAGATCCATAAGTGATTTGGGGATATCCTGTATTGATTTCAATACTTGATTCGGGGTTGGCCGACATTATAAAAAAATGGAAACCACTAGTACAGTTACTTGTTTAATAAGGGTCATATTATGTTAATGCCAACAGTATTGTCTTTATGCTGCCATAATAAAAGCAAAGAATGTTTGTCTTCTGTAAGTTGAATGTATTTTTACTGTACCTAAAAAAGTAAATTCCATACTACTAGGTTAGTTTTATTGTGCCTAGCATTATAAACAAAGCTGGATCAGGTGGAATGTTAAGTTTTTTATACTTTTTAAGATTTTACAGAATGAGCAACTAGATGAAATCTCTCCCTTGGGTAATGAGGAGGTTTGCGCAGTTAGCCAAGCATGGTTTACAACGAAAGAAGATAAGGATTCCTTAACTAACAAAGGTAAGGAGCACCATGAAATATAGTGCACAGCTAGGAAAATAGAGGTAAAAAGGGCCCAGAAAAGTTCTGAGCTGAGCCTTCATCCCTGTGCTTTAGGTCAGTCATTGCATTTCTCTGTCTCCACTGTGCCCCGCACGACTTTGAACTAAGCCCAGAAACTAACATTTGTTATTATTGTTTTCTTTCTGATACGGAGTAGATTTTGTTTATTAAAATTTGGAACAAATAACCAGGTGTGGTGGCACACACCTGTGATTCAACACTCTGACATGCTGAGGCAGGAGGATGTAAAAATCAAGCCCAGCTTGGGCAACTCAGGGAGACCCTGTCTCAGAAGAGTAAAGCGTGGGAGATGTGAGTCAGTGCAGAAGCCTTGGGTTCAGTCCTCAGTACCCCAGAAAGAAGGGCAGGGAAGGAAGTTGAACAGAGGCAGAGGGATGGATGGCTTTTAACGGTGCGGTTATGGCCTAAGAGAGCGAGAACTCAGACCTTTTCAGAGATCTGCTAATTGAGTCTGAAAAGCAGCTTGGAAGCTTCAGGTAACTGCTGGCGAAGCAGTGCTGCTGCACTGCAAAGAGTGAGCAGGGTCGGCAGGCCGCCTGCAAGCAGGGATGCAGTGATGGCCATGCTGATGGTCCCCATAAACATCTGGGTGCATTATTCACTCAGGGCCCAGGGTCTTGCATTTATCTTGCCCGAGAATCTTCTATACATGCTCCTTTACGTATAAAACTTCCTTTTTTAAAATTTATTTTGAGACGGTTTCACCGAGTTTCCCAGCTGACCTTGAATTTGCAGTCCTGCCTCAGCCTCCCAAGTAGCTGGGATTATAGCCATGTGCCACCATTCCCAGCCAGAACTTATTATTTTTCACTGGACAAATTTTTCAAACTGTTTTTAGCGTAATTAGCTTTTCGTGTACTTATAAGTCTCTTGTTAGCGGTTTTATTGTATTTCTGAAAGGATAAAAGAAGGTGGTAATAGTTCTCCTTAAACACCAGAGGTTGAGGAACCACCATTACCTGGGGATTTTTCATATTTCAGGTGGATGCAAAGTTAAATTAGCTACATTTTATTACAACTGATAATCACAAAACAAGTCTGTAGTATTTATTCTTCTTGAGGAGTAACAGTTGTTTTTTTGGGGGGGTACCGGGGATTGAACTCGGGTCCTTGCGCTTGCAAGGCAGGCGGCAGAACCACTGAGCTAAATCCCTGGCCCCTTGAGGAGTAACATTTTTTGTAATACTTGTTTTCTTTTAAAGGACATAAATGGAAGCAGGGGATGTGGTCCAAGGAAGAAATTGATATTTTGATGAACAATATTGAACGCTATCTAAAGGTACCTGTGATATATTTTTATTTTTCACTTAATTTGTTTACTGCCAGTTGCAAAATACCCAAGCAGCTTTATATGTACTTATTCAGAGCTTCTCACTGATTTTTGTAACAATGATCTACTAATATGTTTTGGTTTAATAATTCTAAAGTATGATGTAGTTATAGTATAGCTGCCTCTCAGTATCTTTTGCTTTGTTGTCTTTTCAAGCAAGCTATAAATTAGTTTGATTTATATTATACGAACCCTATCGAATGTTCATATTGTCTAATTTTACTATATGAGCCCTGTATAGATGAGTTTGATTTACATTACATAAGCCAGGCATGGCGGCACACACCTGTAATCCCAGTGCTCGGGAGGCTGAGGCAGGGCATTGTGAGTCTGAGGCC